TTCAAGGTGTTGACTATCATCTTTAAAGCGCTCCATGGCATCGGACCCGGATACCTTCGAGACCGCCTCCTGCCGCAGATTACCTCCCATCGACCTGTACGCTCCCACAGAGTGGGTCTCCTCAGGGTGNCTGGCCTAGGGTAATTTTTAGAGGGGTTTTAATTATATTTTAATTGGACAATGTTCAAATATTTCTTTTAATTAATTTTAAATTTGTAATTGTTATTTATGTATTTTAATTGATTGTCAGCCGCCCTGAGTCCGCGAGGAGAAGGGCGGGATATAAATCCAAATATAATAATAATAATAATAATAATAATAATAATAATGACTTTGGTAGGAGGAGGAGATTGCTAGTTTAACTATACCAGTGGTGACGAACCTATGGCACGCGTGCCAGAGGCGGCACTCAGAGCCCTCTCTGTGAGCACACACACCATGCCCCAGAGATGGCAACCGTCCCTCTTCAACCAGCCACCCACTAACTCACCGAGGTCCCATGTGGCCAGATGCATCCCAGCACCCATGCGCTCGTTGGCCTCTGTGTGCGGGGGCCAATGGTGTCAGGCAGCCCCGGCTCCTGCCTTGCCTTGCCCTGTGACAATGGCACCGCTGCCCTGCCTCACCTTGCCTCGCCTCATCCCGCAGGACGAGCCTCCTGCCCACCGCTTCACTTGCCAGAGACCCCCTGGATCTCCCCCAACCTACCCGGGCCCCACAGGTGTCTCTCCCCACGAGCAATATCAAGGTGATCACGCCCACTTGGCCATACCCACCCAATCTGCCATGACCACCATAGCCACGCCCACCCAGTGGGCTACGCCCACCTGGCACCCGACGATAAATAAGTAGGTTTTGGGTTGCAGTTTGGGCACTCGGTCTCTAAAAGGTTCGCCATCACTGAACTATACCATTTGACTGGGATTTTCCCCAGATCTCGCCTTGGCTTTCCTACTGTCCTTAGCCCCTAATAAAAATTCGTTTTGAGATAATGCCCGTTTCAAGAGTTCTGCTTTCTTGGGTGCTTTGTTGAGGTGGGTCCTTACACACGATTCTGTGTCACGTGTGAGTTTAAACATAGGATTAATTTAAAATACGAATATATTTGGCCTTTTCGGTATGACTTCTCGCAAGAATTTGATCTTTGATTTTACAACCTTTTTTATCAAGATTGTTAAAGCGAATCATTGAATTTTTAAGTGAATCACACAGTCATTAAGCAAATCCAGTCTCCCTGTCCCATTGACTTTACTTGTCAGAAGCCAGCTGGAAAGGTTTCCAATGGCTATTACAACTGGTATTTGGATCATGTGGAGACACTGCAGTGATCGTAAGTGCAAGTACCAGTCATAAGTTGCTTTTTTCACTACTGTTGTAACATCTAAATTAATGGTTGTAAACCGAGGACTATATATTTATTAATACGGCTATTATGTTAAGTTATGTTAAGTTTTAATTACAGTTCATTGAATAGGCCACAGTGCCTGGATCCTATGGCGATCTAGAGTCAAAAAAGCAACCCCATGGCTCAATGTGATACATGAAGCCAGCCAGTGTCTCTTAATTTGGTTCTGTCTATATTCCACAAAGCTAGGATGGAAACCCAGCCCTCCAGCCAGTGCTGAAAGATGCTTAGATATTTGGGTAATCAATATCCTAACTATAATTTGAAAGTAGTATTTTAATAAGGTCTTGAGAACGTCATAATGACATTTCATTCTTTTTCTGGCACTACATTAGACTCTTTTCCTGCTGTCACATGAAGAATGTAATTGGAAATATATAAGATCTAAAAGATCTTTAAAAATATTACATGGATACCTTATTATTGGTGAATTCTCAGTTTTAAATATCCTTGAATTCTAATAACATTTTTAAAGATACAATAGAAAAACTCAATACAGATAGAATTTTCTGTTACAAAAGAGTCATGTTTGAATGGGTGTTGTGATGATCGATTTTTTTAATGGGCAAAAACAAAATTAGCTGTATTTGGTCTGCAATAAAAAAGCAACATCTACAGTATAGTAGAATAATAATTAAGTTGAAAAATCCCTAGGGATTGAGGCAGCTGTAAAATTTAACAAAGAAAACAAAGGAGTTGCTAAGTTACAGTGTTTTATTCTTGCATACTTTTGAATAATAACTCTTTATTAGGGAATACTCTTAAAAATAGTAGGTAGTCTAAAATATATATGTAAACTTTAATTTTAACCCTATTTGAGATTTTTATCCATTTTATTTATTAGCTTTATATACCATCTTTGCTTTGGGAGTTCAAGACGGCATAAGTTGGGCTAATAGCAAATAGCAAATCTCAGTATCTTGGTAAAATGATTATTGAAAATGAATGAGAAATTTTGAGATGTGCAACTGTTAGTAGAAAGATAATGGGTAGTACGTGGACTGTTATAATAAATAATTGGTTGCCAAAAGAAGCAAAAATGGCCAGGTGTTTGTTTGCTCACTTTTTCATATAACAACAACAACAATAACAATAAAAATAAAAAAATAAAAAGTTGGAAGGAACCCTGGAGGTCATCTAGTCCAACCCCCTGCTCAGGCAGAAAACCCTATACCATTTCAGAGAAATGGTTGTCCAGTCTCTTCTTAAAAACTTCCAGTGTTGGAACATTCACAATTTCTGGAGGCAGGTTGTTCCACTGATTAATTGTTCTAACTGTCAGGAAAATTCTCCTTAGTTCTAGGTTGCTTATCTCTTTGATTAGTTTCCATATGGAGGTAAAAATTTAATATGTCAGGAGAAGTGTAGTAAGTTGAATGTAGAATGAACTTAAGAAGGGTGCATGGTAAAACAAGAGACAAAGACAAGAATGTGTCAAGGTAATTATGATTTAGTAGCTGACCGGCAGAAGTGATATATAGAGAATGAGTCAACAGAGTATTTGGGGGTAGTATCCCTTTAAGAGACTGTGTCTGCGAGAATAGCAGTTGGAACCTGCTTGCTCCACTTCAACCGTTTGAATATAAATGACTATCTTGTATTCTGTATGCTCCCTGAATATTGTTTCATATTGTATATTAAACCACAGTTCTTTTAACAAATCACTGTCAGATGTTTATGCTCCTGTGTTATCACAAGAAGAAAATAAGAAAAATGCAGCGATAATTTATATTTTAAACAACAGAATGAATGTTGAATAAATGCCTGTGGCGATTCTCAATCATCCAGGTCATGGTTGTCTCAAAGGTGGTTTTCAAAAGGCAGCTGGACTTTCTTTGTTTTTTCCTTAAATGTTTTACTTCTCATCCAAGAAGCTTCTTCAGTTCTGACTGAATGGGGGCGGGGAATGGAAGGATCTGGTGGTTAGCATTCTGAAAGTCATTGTTAGCTCTCTGAGAGACAGGAGATAATGTAGTATCCTATCTCATATAATTCACACCACTTACTGTATCTCCTGGCTACAACCAAGAAAGTCCAGTTGCCTTTTGAAAAGCAGATTTGGGCTGAGTGTTGAATTACTGAGAAGTGGACAAAAAGAGGTTCACCAGTATGAAAGAAATCTGTTAAACTGGTTTGGTCATATAGGCAGAACAACTGAATACAAAACAAATGCATGAAGGAAGAATGGGTGGTTTGAGAGGAAGAGGAAGGCTGAGAAAGTTGTGGTTGAAACAGTTGAAAAGACAGGTAAGAAATGTAAAAAAGAACACAATATATGGATATGGGGGAAGCTGTAACAACTGGCAAGAATAGAAAAAATATGGAGAGGAACAGTGAATGGTGCTGAAGTTTAGATGCTCTTTTACTCCTTTTCTGCTGTCTGCCAACCATTCCATTCTCTAAAGGAATAGTGTGATGGACATATACAGTAAGCATATAATTGCATTATTAAATGGGTGGCGAGTAGCTGAGGAATGTCTTTCATTTTAGGAACTGTCCAGTTGTTAAATTGGAAGAGCAAACCCCCCTTAAAATATGCTTGGTGGCTTGGCTGTTGATATCGTTGCCTGACACATTACAAAGGGACTTTTCTTGCATTGCTCTCATGTGATGGAAAGCACTACTGTGTGAGTTGAGTTTGGCCCCCTTCTTTGGCATTTAGAAATCATGTACATGTAGCATTTGTCATAAACACCTTAAATTAAATGTAAGCGAGTATTGGTTTACTGTTTATAGTGTTGGTCTACTGACTTTCTAATGCACTACAACAACCAGGAAGCTAGAAAATTATGAAATAAGCATGCTTGTTTGTTTGTTTGTATATTTGTTCATAGGTCTGAGTGTATCATATCATTTCCCTTCTTTTAGAAATTAAGTAGTAGGGACATTTCAACATTGTGTTGCACTCAATTTGGAATCTGGGAGATTTGCAGCTAGGATCTGGTTGTGCTCAGGTAGACAAAAATTAGATGAGCCAGAGAAAGAAAACATGACCAACAATGGGCTGAAGATTGAAGACTGGTACCCAAATAAACATTTGTCAGTGGCATACCAAGGATGGGGTTGGAAGCAGGCTGTCACGGACGCAAGCAGTAAGGGAAGGCTATCTGGAGGGTCAGTACTGAATGTGGAATCGCATTGCTGCTGCCAGTCCATCAGTCAGCTGTTTGGCATTTGGTGGCATGGTGCCATAACAAAGGTAGAACAGAGCAGGCTGGGTATGGACCAGCCGGTATCCTGCAACTGTCACTTGCAGGATACAAGTGTGCTCTTGCCAATAGTCATAGCAAAAACATGATCAGAAGGCAGTTGACGGTGAAATACTGGAGTGGATGGATGAAATATTTCGAAGCCAATGCGATACTCTGGGTGCAGTGGTGGCACATTTCTTTTCATTCTCTGGCTCTTACTCGGAAAGAGCCCAGTGGGCTTCTACTCTGAGAAGGCTGACCTGCTGCCTTATGCATGCAATTGATGTCTGTGTATAATGCAACCTTTTCCCAAAACGCTATCGCTAATGCCTTCTTGTTAACCCAGGATTGCTCAGCTTCTGCAGTGGTATGTCTAGTCTTAAAAGCGACCCTTCTTTTTCCAGAAGAACCGACTCCTTCACATAAAATCATCAGCCCACCCACTGGAGTTACTTACCCTCATGACGATGTCTCGGATTATGGCCTCAAGCCGTACCCCTTCGCTTTCTCTAGCCTTTCGGCAAATCACATGGGCAGATATGGACAGCCAGATAGCATAGGGTCAAAATGCTACTTGGACCCTCTCAAGGCTGCAGGTCCCCCTACTTTGAGCCCTAGGATTGAGATAACACCATCTTATGAACTGATTCACTCAGGGGGGCCCTTCAGCGGCAGAGACACAGATCTATTGGTAGAGCATCAGTCCAGCTCAGCTACTGCTAGCCCAAGGTTTACCCTGCCAGTCCCTGGCTTTGAGAGCTACCGAGAACCGCTGTGCCTGAGCCCTCCTAGCAGTGGCTCCTCTGCAAGCTTCATTTCAGAGACAAATTTCTCTCCTTACACTTCACCATGCGTTTCACCAAATAATGGCCCTAGTGATGACCTTTGTCCACAGTTTCAAAACACCCATGCTCATTATTCCCCTAGAACCTCGCCAATAATGTCCCCACAAGCAACTGTCGTGGAAGATACCTGCTTGGGGCCACGTTCACCATCACCACGTCCCAACTCAAGGTCGTCATCGCCAGGGGCAAAGCGGAGGTACTCTTGCACTGAGCTGTACGGGAGTCAGCACCCACACTCTTCTCCACGGCAGTCGAGAACCCCTTCTCCACAGGCCTCTCCCCACATCTCCTTGAGAGAAGACGGAGCCACAGTCACTTACACCCAGTTGTCCACCTCCTCAAGTCTCATGGATGCAATGAACAATCTCACCACTGATCCTTCCTGCGGAGTTCCCACAAAAATATGGAGGACCACCCCAGATCCTTTGCCAGTGGCTTCCCACAAATCCAGTATGCCATGTCACGTGCTTCAGCCGATCGAATACATTGGGTCCTGTGAGCAGGACAACCGAAGGAACCCCCCACCAGATTCAATCCTTTTAGTGCCGCCATCTTGGCCAAAGCAGCTGATGCCTGCGATACCAATCTGCAGGTGAGTAGATGTCTTGCACATATATGGAGTTCTATAGAATGTATAGAATTTGTCTTGTAGATATGTGCATATCTGTGAGACAGAATTGCATATAATAGAGGAGGATTTCTTTTAATGAGTTATTCTTGACTCTCCTGTTCTTTTTCTCCTAAGCTGCCCTGGATATTCTTCTGTTGGAGATAACAGCAAATGCATGTTCCCCCAGCAAATGAAAGTGCATAATATTGGAGGAGGACAAAATCATTACAGGGTAGAAAGCAGCATAATTTATTCCTCCTTCTTGACAAGGAGACAGCTAATCATTTTCTATATTTCATTACATTCTGCATTTACCTATATTTACACACAATGATGATTGAATAGCTACTGAAGATACTCTGCATTGTCAGTGTGGAAATAATCTAGTCAGAGAAAGAAAAGGATGATTTTGGAGGTCCAGCATAGCCTTTAGTATGAAGTATTGATTGATTATTCAAATTTATATAGCCGTCCATCTCATATGTATGACTATGGGTGGCTTACAAAAAAATTAAAACAAATATAAAAACAAGAAAAAAAAACCCAATACAACAATTTAAAAAACAGAAAAGAACAACATAAAAGCATATAGAAAACATAATGAAATACATAAAACTCACAACCAAGGTAATCCCATTCATCAAAATTACTACTACTGCATCAGCTCTACCATGCTCCTGGATCCCAATGCCAGTTAGCAAAACTTATGAGTTCCTTCAGGGCCTTGTGAATAGCCAGGAGGGTTGGGGTCAATCTTTCTTTCATTATCATTGATTCTTCTTGAATTAATTGCCACTGGTTCTTATCCTAGTTAGCAACTGTTTGTAAATTGTGAGGCAAAGAATCCACCCCACGGATTTGAGTTGAGCAAAAAAGCATTTTTAATTGTTCTCCATCTCTTGCCAATCAGTGGTTGATCCAGGTCCTCTTGTCTTTTGAAAAAGAAACATGATTTCCAGTTGTTTGGATCATTATTGTGCAGCCTGTCCTTGTTAATGTGAGTATTGAGCTAAGCTTCTTTTCTTTCATAACTTAAACCCAAGCTTTCTTCTCCCCAGCATTCCTGTTCAGTCTCTTCCACCTCTTGAGTGGCCTCTTTCCAGCCATTCGGGCTCCTATGAATTACAGATTGAGGTGCAACCCAAACCTCACCATCGTGCTCATTATGAGACGGAAGGGAGCCGAGGGGCAGTCAAAGCACCAACAGGGGGACATCCTGTGGTTCAGGTACGTTGTGTTTTGTGTGGGGTATCTTACAGTGCAGTGGGTATTTGGATCCCAGAAAGGCAAGGGTGCTTCGATCCAGCATGGGCACATTCTCCTTGCCAATCAGCTACTCCTTATAGAAGCCATGCCTTTTCCTGGGCTTACAAAGTAGCTATACATCCCTAGTCTAATGAAGAGAAGGACTAGGAGTAACATGATAGCAGTCTTCCAGCCCTTGAGGGACTGCCACAGATAAGAAGGGCTCAACTTAGCCTCCAAAGCACCTGATGGCAAGATAAGAAGTAATGGGTGGGAGATCCTTAAAGACAGATCAAACCTAGAACTAAGGAGAAATATGAGTACAAATAATCAGAGGAAGGGTTGCCTCCAGAAGTTGTGGGTGCTCTATCATTGGAGGTTTTCAAGAAGAGACTGGACAGCCATTTGTCAGGAATGGTATAGGGAGCAGGGAGGTTGGACTAGAAGACTTCCAAAGCCCCTTCCAACCCTATTATTTTATATTCTATTTTGTTTGAGTTAGGAGATAAGATGGAGGCACCCCTGCTTCTGTCTGTTTAACCTCTCCTTAACTCTAAAGTATATTTTTCTCAGTCTCTGGTCTTTCAGTAGGAGATACCAGATATAAGCCAAGCTTCTTCAAGTCTCACTTGACAAGTAGATCAAATGATGCCATGCCAGTTCCAGCATCCTTGATCATTTTGCATCCAAATTATTTTAGAACATCCAGGACTCTTGATAATAATGCATAGCTCAATCACAGTGTTTTTCAAACTTGGCAACTTTAAGATGTGCAGACTTCAATTCTCATGGTGGCTGGGGAATTCTAGGAGCTGAAATCCTCACATGTATAGAAGTATAGAATAGAATAACAGAGTTGGAAGGGATCTTATAGGTCATCTAGTCCAACCCCCTGCTTAAGCAGGAAACCCTATACCATTTCTGACAGATGGCCCGTCCAGTCTCTTCTTGAAAGCTTCCAGTGATGAAGCACCGACAACATCTGAAGGCAGTCTGTTCCATTGGTTGATTGTTCTCACTGTCAGAAGATTTCTCCTTATTTCTAGATTGAATCTCTCGATCAGTTTCCATCCATTGTTCCTTGTCTGGCTTTCAGGTGCTTTGGAAAATAAGTTGACCCCCTCCTCTCTGTGACAGCCGCTCAAATATTGGATCACTGTTATCATGTCACCCTGGTCCTTCTCTTCACTAGACTTGCCAGGCCCAGTTCCTGCAACCATTCTTCCTATGTTTTAGCTTCCAGTCCCCTAATCATCCTTGTTGCTCTTCTATGCACTCTTTCTAGAGTCTCAACCTCTTTTTTATAGTGTGGTGACCAAAACTGGATGCAGTATTCTAATTGTGGTCTTACTAATACCTTATAGCAGGAATGTCAAACTCGCAATGTCGCGTAACGTGTCGCGATGTATCACGACTTTTTTTGCCATTGCCAGCAATGGGGTGTGCGCGGTTTCGCTATGATGCATCCGGCCCGCGGGCCAGCAGTTTGACACTCCTGCCTTATAGAATGGTATTAGTACCTCACATGATGTTGATTGAATCCCTCTGTTAATGCAACTTAGGATTGCATTGGCTTTTTTGGCTGCTGCCACACATTGCTGGCTCATATTTAATTGATTGTCTACTAGACTAAGATTGTTAAAGTTGGTATATGTTTATATTTTTTATAAATAATTCAAGTGGCAAACATGCCTAATATTCCTTCCTCTTCCTATTTTCCCCACAACAATCCTGTGAGGTGGTTGGACTGAGAGACTTTCCCATCCAGCTGGCTTTCATGCCTAAGGCAGGACAAGAACTCACAGTCTCCTGGTTTCTAGCCTGGTACCTTAACCACTAGGTCAGACTGGTTTCAGAAAAGATCAAGTTTGAAAAACACTGTTCTGTTAGTCTGGAAAAACAGAATTATTGTTTGAAAACAGAAGTTGGCAACTCACTCAAGCCTGTAGCTCCTTTTTTCTGCTGTCCTCTCATGCTAAAGAGATTGAATTGTATTTTTGCTTCTCTGGAAGCAAAAGACCCATACTTCTACTGGTAAATTGTTCTGTTCTGGCTGCTTATATAGCTTAGAAGCTCAGTTCCAAAAGATGCCATCTTATACACAGATAAATAAGGCTTTTGTTTTCATGTAATAAGCACATTTTGTAATTGGGAGCGAAGACAAAAAAGGGACATTTCCTAGGGCTACAGAAAAGAACAGGCTGTAAATGTATCAGCTGAATCAATTTTTAATTAATAAGGCTAAAGAGATACCACTTAACATCCTACATTGGCCCTTAACATTTGAACCATTTTGAAATTTGGTAGAAAGCTTTGCAAAAAACCCCCAACCCAATAATTTTGTTTCTAGTGTAATTGAGTATGGAAATAAAATTGGAAGAATTTCCTTTTCCAGGATAGTTTGCACTGCAGTGTAAATATATAGTGTAAATATAAATCAAAATCATGTGAAGTATTAGTACCATTTTATAAAACCTTAGTAAAACCACACCTAGAGTAGTGCATCCAGTTTTGGTCACCCCATAACAAAAAAGATTTTGACACTTTTGAAAAAGTGCAGAGAAGAGCAACTAAGATGATTAAAGACCTGGAGACTAAAACATACAAAAAACGGTTGCAGGATTTGGGTATGGCTAGTCTAGAGAAAAGAAGAACTAAACGTGACAGGATAGCTGTGTTCAAATATTTGAGGCGCTGCCACAAAGAAGAAAGGGTGTCAACTTATTTTCCAAAGCACCAGAAACAAGACAGGAAACAATGGATGATAACTAATCAAGGAGAGAAGCAACCCAGAACTAAGGAGAAACTTCCTAACAGTGAGAACAATTAACCAGTGGAATGGCTTGCCTTCAGAAGTTGTGGGTGCTTCATCACTGGAAGTTTTTAAGAAGAGACTGGACAGCCACTTGTCTGAAAAGATATAAGGTCTCCTGCTTGAGCAGAGGGTTGGACTAGAAGACCTCCAAGGTCCCTTCCAGCTCTATTCTGATTAAATATTTTGCTGGAGACATGTGGACTGAAGCACCTTTTGTACAACAGCTGCCATAAATCAAGCAGCCAGTTCGGTGTTTATTGGCCATACTGTTTCTTTCTCCTGTAATATCTTTGTTATGTGATGCCAATATAAGATCTCTTCATTGGCATGGTTAGAACTGTGATAAGGAAAAGAAGGAGGTCAATTGAAGCCTGCCACAGTTGGCATTTGGTTCAACGAGGTTTTTGATGGCATGTTGTAAACTTTATGCTGTTGTAAAGATACAGTGGCATAGGTTAATTGGGTTCATGAATTCGTGAGAGAAAGGTGAATGAGTTGGAGCAGATTTTGCTGATTTTTCTGCAAGTTAGACTAAGGTCATGGATACCACAGGACATTTTTAAAACAAGGGTAGAAAGCTGCTTCCCTTCCCACTTATTAAATTTATATCCATCTTTTCCACCAAAATGAACACAGGAGGTTTCTATCAATGATACAAAAGTCTAAACCTTGAAAACAGGCAAATAAATTTCCCATTAAATACAATTCAATCAAAAACAAATAAACCATACACACCAATTAAAACTTGTGTCAATAGACAAGTTGAATTGTGTGTCCAGAAGTGTGTCTGGATAAACATGTCCCTAGAGAGGACTTAGACTTTGCTATCTGATCAACCTAGACAGTATGAACAGTAGATGGGGATGATGGAGATTGTAGTCAGATGATAATTGGAAAGTCGCAAATGATTCCATCCTGTTTTAAAATATTCTCTTGCCTTTTTTACAGTTGTGTAAATGAAAGCCAATTTTGCTGGATAAGTCAAGTTTAGTTGGAATTAAAATATGAGGTCTCTGTACTGAATAATGTGTTATCGCTGAGATCCAAAGCAGAAACATTAAATGTGTTGATTTCTCCAAGGCTTTTTGTTTTTTTAGTGATGAAGAGGCAAATGTACTTAATAGAGATGAAACTTTAGACGTCCTTTTGAGTAAAACTATTCCAGGGGATTTCTGGTTCTTTTGCCTTCCCTTCTGGTATTCTGATATATATATATCTGGTTAAAACATATTAAAGTCTGTCTATAATACTGTTATAAAATGGAAGGGATGGAAGAGATCTTAGAGATCATCTAGTCTCACCTTCTGTCCAATCCATGGATGCTTTACTGCAAGCAAGAATCTCTTCTTTTTTTGATGGAGGAGTATATATTCTGGTACTACAGGTAGTCCTCAACTTACAACAGTTCATTTAGCAACCATTCAAAGTTACAATGTCACTGAAAAAAGTGACTTATGTCTGTTTTTTGCCCTTATGACCGTTGCAGCAGCATCATGGTCATGTGATCAAAATTCAGAGGCTTGGCAACTGACTCATATTTATGACGGTTGCAGTGTCCCAAGGTCATGTGATCACCTTTTGTGACCTTCTGACAAGCAAAGTCAATGGGGAAGTCTGATTCACTTAACCGTGTTACTAACTTAACAACTGCAGTGATTCTCTTAACAACTATGGCAAGAAAGGTCATAAAGTGGGGCAAATTTCACTTAACGAATGTTTTGCTTAGCAACATAAATTTTAGGCTCAATTGTGGTCGTAAGTCGAGGACTACCTGTATAGCAAGAGCTGAAGCAGCACTGATATTTTAGCTCAGCCTGATGCCAGCCCTAATCAAATAAGCTAAAAAAATGTTCAGAGAACAAAAGATGGGTACATTAGCTCTTTGTGGTCTAGTAAGAAAGTTTTAATTGGAATTGCTGGTTTAACAAAATGATTATGAGTGTGGTGTGTGGGTCAGTATGCCTCAATGTGCCCTTTAAGTGTGTGGCTAAGTACCCACTGCTTCGGTTTGAACCACAAACCAAACCAAACTAAAATGGGATGCAGAGAATAGTAGGATCCCAGTTGCTAACTTTGTATAAATCAGGCCTTACTATTAAGCCACAATATAGTGCAGACTAGTGGCCGGGTTTCTGCAACATCTCAGTTCTAAAACTGGGTTAACTTG